GACAGCTTTTCACTCCATTGCATCAAAACTGAAAACTAGTTCTTTAGCTGAATAATTCTAACTTAATTAATACATTACTTTTTGCTTTCAATAAGACAAAACTAAAAATCTTGTATAGGATATTAGGAGTTAAATGTTCATAGAGAGCTCATAGCTGATCTGCACATAATGTTCTATTTCACAGCTGCATTAAGTTATTCATAATTTCAATTCTTTATTGGGAGCTACACAACATTTAAAAAAATTCCAAGATACAAAAATGTTTATTTCCAAATATACCCCTTTGTTTCCTATAGACTAACAGTTGATAAATTAATTAAAAAATTATGATAACACACACACTTATTAAAACTACTCAGTGGTATCTTAAATATGTCCCCAGACAAGAACCTGGACCGACTGTAAGAGAGGGTTTGGTACGTAACAGCAGAGATGCTATAAGACAAGTCAGGACACTGTTCTGTGCTGCTGGCAGTGCAGCCGAGCTGCTGTGGTGCAACGCACGTACTACAGAGGGAGTGAATTACACCACAGACTGCTGGGAAAAAGAAGTGAGGCCTGGGGAGGTCAACATATAAAAAATAGAGTCATGGAAAAACAATTATCTCACCATATTGTCAATATTCTCAGATTCTGCTAAGAAAGAAATCCCTCTAGTTTATTCTACATGGGTCCTGTCCCCTCCTCCTGAACTCCCTTTCATATCCTTTAAAACATTTTCTACATGGGACGAACTAGTACAGTTTAAACAGACAGAAATCTGACAAACATTTGTTCACAATGCTCACTCCTTAGGTCTCTTCCTCAGTCTGATGTTGAGCATAAGGACAAGGTTACAGGCCCCCTGGGAGTGTGTCGATGGTGTTGAATTACGCTGCCAATGCCTCTGACAATATTGCACCTTATTAATCATTGATCTGGTCACTGGTATTAAGTTTCCATGCACTGGGGATTATGTTAACAGTGCTAAAGGTGATGAGAAATAGGCATTTTCAAGGCAATTAACAATATGATTAGTGCAAAATATTGAGAGAGATAAAAATTAAGAACTGAGTAACAGTGTCCAGGCCTACAGGTAAAAAAAAAAATGTTTAGATTAAGGGCAAAACATGAATTAAACAAAAGGAATAAACACCCTAACAGTTAAAGGTGCTGACAGATGTGGTGGTTAAAATGCTGGCTGTAGTAACATGTGACCTTTACAAAATAAAAAAAAGAGGTCTCACTGGAGTACATGGCACACTATTGATTTAGAAGGGGAAAAACAAAAACAAACAAAAATCACCAATCCACAACATCATGGCTCTTTGAGAAATAAAAACTGATAATGTTCCATCACAGTTACTGTGTACTGGCACTGAGTCATCTGATGGATTACATGTTACACAGTAGAAAGCTGCATGTTTCAGTGGACGGGTTTGAAATTCTATATTTTAATATATTTTCTTCTGAGGAAAGATGACAAATAATGTGGCATTCCCCAAATTCCGCTCCCAAGGGATATCATATTTAAAAGTGAGGAAATGAGAACGTGCCAGAACAAGACAGTGTCACAAAGTAATCAGTTCATTATTCGCACATTAAAATTGTTTTACTGAGTCCTGAGGAACCCTTAAAAATAAATTACAGGTCCCCCCTGAGGTGAGTTAGTCCTAGAGAAGGGGATGATGTCTTGTTTCCTTTGAGAGTGTGTGAAAATGTCATACGTCCTCCTGCACTTGTCCTCTGCTGTCCATGGGAGACGGGGGGGTCGGAGAAACAGATAGAAGAGAAGAGAGGAAGAAGGCGAGAAAATATCCATTCGTCTAGCAGCATCTGTGCCCTTTAGTTTGTCCGGAGCTGGTAATCTGCCAAGAAATGCAACAGCAGAGTATAAACACACAGCTTTCTTCCCCTCATCATCCCTGTAAATATAAGCCCTATTAAATCCCTACACAAGAATTTCACTAATACTAAATAAATCATGTCACCAATATTTAATACACTAACTCCCTTTCAGACTTTTCAGTGTTTCCAATTAGCAATAACATGTATCCAAGATTGTTCAGTAGCTGATAACACTTTACAGTCAAACGTATGTGGACATTCTTGTCAACAACTTCTGAGGTTTTGTTTCAGGGTTCGAACATCTTGGTTCCAATTAAAAGAAAATGTTTGTGCTAAAACACAACAGTATTTTAGACAATTCCATGTTTTACATTTTAGCAACAATTCAGGAACCTGATTCCTGTTTGAACATGACAACGCCTGTGGTCAGAGTTGGGTCTACAGCGAGCTGAAGTGAAGCTTCTGGGTTCTATTCCTGAAGTAGGAAAACAGTATAGCATGCTCAACTGTGTGTTATATTATTGATAATATATATATTTTGAGAACAATCTAATATTGTTGCTCATTCGGTTGGTTTGTTTTAGCTACCTTTAACAAGCACCATTTGCCATAAGCCCAAGACCATCCAAAGTTAATGTCATGGCTCAGCAAAAGAGGTGAGTCCATGAGTGATTTGAGGGGCGCTTCTTTCTGATGGCAAGTGCTGTACCGGATGACAATTTGGCTTAGAATATGAACAAGCCAGGAACACATTTAACTTTTTCAGAGAGGCCGATTACAGAAATGCTAAATGAGAGATGGCACTGAGTTACAGAAGTCACCGTATTTTAATAGACCCTGGGTTGAGTGTGACATCATGACTTCAGCTCTCTAAAGAAATGGTTTTCTCAATTTGGAGAGCAATAACCTGACTAGTCTGACCTAGCCCTGACCTCCACCCCATCAAGAGCAGAGTGCAGTTCTGTACAGATGAACAGAAAATACTGCATACAGTATCCATCCATCCATTATCTGCATCACTGTGGGAGGGCTGACACACCGGTCACACCTATGGGCAATTTAGAGTGGTAGTCTAAAGTTGTCGCTTGCTGCTGTATAGTGTGACTGGTAAATTCATGTTCATCACTCATTAATAAGTCAGCACAGTAAGTCTACAGTATCGAGGTACTGTGTAATCAGTGTGAGTGTGTCTGTGTAGTCCTGAGTGAAATGTGATCATCCCCGTCTTTTCTCCCCCTCCCTGTACTGCTGATGGTAACAATAAGAGAACATTGATAGCCTTCTCCCCAGCCCCCCTAACTTCACCCTCCTTTCTCTCACTTGTACTCATCTTTTACCCTTCTCCTTTCTATCCCACTCTCCTTTGCTTCCTTAGTAACCTTGGCATTTGCTGAGTACCACCGTGGGAGGCTCCTGGCAGTCAGTGGTAACATTCAACCTCTGCAGCCCTTGACTCGTACCTGATTACACTAGGTAATGGAAATGATTGATGTAATGGTGTCAGGTTCATTCCTGGGGCATATGGCATTTATGAAACTTAAGGATTTTTGACAGTGGCTCAGCAGAGGTATTGGGTTTCAATTTCCATTTGTCACCCATTGAAACTAATTAGGATTCTACTGCAGACTCACCGATATACAGTGGCTTTCTCCAGCCTGTAAAATGTCAAATAAAGGCAAAAGGCACAAAAAGCCTTTTAAAAAAAATTGAGAAAGACGAAGTAGCCCCAGATCAGCGGTGTGTGTCTGTAAGGGTTTCTTGGTGTATGGGTCTATTTTAGTGTGTGTGTTCTTACCTCCACTTTGCGTGATGTAGCGCACCCATGGTAATGCCTGGTAACCACTCTTCTCTATAATCTTTAGGTAACGCACCTGGGGAGCAGAGTCAGTTAATATTATCATTTCACTCTCTCATATAAAATTATCTTTTTATAAACCTGATTCTTCTGAACAGTTCTGAAAACCCATTTGCATTCTCATTGTAGTGCAGCCACGTGTGAACAGACAAGGAAGTAGGATTCTTAGAATCTGTTTAATAAGTGTTAACACAGGAGCCCACCTGAATTCCAGACACAGTGAAATAGGGGATCTCAAAGTTAACTGTGATTGGCCTCTTCATCTCCTGCTCATCACTCTCCACACTGGGTAGCCCAAAGTGTGCCCGCATTACATACTCCTTACCACCCTACACACACACACACACACACACACACACACAGAGAGAGAAAGAGAAAAGACCACAAATCTGTTATTGTATTTGTAAAACATTACATTCTGAGTGATATTAGCTCTCAGATGAAAAGGTTTACTCCAATTAATGCAACAGTCTGAAATCAAAACAAACTTTATATTCATGGCAAAGCACGATGACTCATGTCACACTAAAGTGAGTCAGATTTATGGGATTTAGCACTTGCCAAACACATCTAGATTATAAAAACATAGAACAGGTTAATCATTCTTCATCACAGCAATCGCATCGTCCTACAGTATCACTGAGTTTGTCATTTTGTGCTTTGGTTTTATTTGCTGGAAATCATTTTGAAACACTTCTTTCAAATCACTATTTACCTGTAACATTTATGATTCACAACTAAATGAGCAACCTTTATAGGAGATTAGTCTCAATCTAACCTACTTTTCTTTATAGGTTTCTCATCTTTTTGTTGAATGGTGCATGTTGTTGTATGTCACATCACATTTGTCAGCTGAGCCCTACCCATTTCAAATCAGTGACAAGAGCTGAAACACAAACACTGTCTTGGAAATAACCAAAACTGTTGTAACTTTGGCAGAGAATTGTGTATTCATGTGGGACCCTGTTTGTCACAGTAAGAAGCTAATTGAGAAAACAGGTTTTATACACTTGCCCCTTTTAAGGAATGGCGATGTTTGCAGAACAGAGTTGTAAATAACCGGATGGGCAGGAGGCTGATGGACTTTGGATCATTCTGTTTATCTCTCTCTTATTACAAGAAACGGCTGCTTTGTGTTTGTTTCTTTGAACCTCCATCAGACATTACTAGTTAAACAAAATTTCACGTGAGAATATACAACTTCACAGCAGTCAAAGGTTGGGAGTGACAGAGAAAAATGTTCTGCAGAGTCGTACGCACGCTGGATAACAATGTCACCAGTAATGGCAATTCTTAACCCTCACGACAGGCTGACGGCGTAATGAATTACTGAGGAGATATCAGAGCCCAAGAGATAAAAGGAACCTCAAGTGAATTAATGCTCTCTTGTTTTAGAAGGCAATTTTTCAAGAGTTTATATTTTGGTGATAGCACAGACTGGTAATGAAACTGTTAAAGGGACAGCAAAAACTGGAGAGATCAGATGTAGCCATGGGTGAGTGGAAGGTTGATAACAATGTGATAACTTGATTTTTGACACCAAAACCAATTTAAGCTTGTGTAGATATGTACAGTGGGTACGGAAAGTATTCAGACTCCCTTAAATTTTTCACTCTGTTATATTACAGCCATATGCTAAAATCATTTAAGTTCTTTTTTTTCCTCATTAATGTACACACAGCACCCCATATTGACAGAAAAACACTGAATTTTTGACATTTGTTTAAAACTTGATAGTGAAGGAAAAGAATAACACTGCTCTGCAGCATCAACATGCACTATTTTACTGTGGATGATATTTTGTTTATGCCACACTAACAGGGAAAGACTTGATGTTCCACATCACCACACTCTTCTCAGGCACCCACTTGGCGCTGCCTGTGTTGGTCTTAAATTTGGGTGAGTCAGCATCACTGGGCACTGGCACCAGAATGGACACGTTGTTGGCAGTGGATCGGGTCTTAAACTGACTCCGAGCCTGCGGAAAGTGACAGAAGACAGAGGTCAAATGTTATCTGAGACCTTTACAACAAAGGAGAGTGCACATCCAAATTCAGATCAAGGCCTTCATGATTATGCACAGCACTGCTTGTTATTTTGAGTCTGTACAGCCATCAGTGCTCCAAACAGATGGTAAGCAGTAATCTGCCTGAGATGCATGTCTCATAAATACTGAACAGGTTTTAGTGAAGGGTGTGTGTTTGTGTTTCACTCATGATTACCTTCACCTTGATCTCCACACGGCTGTGAGAGAACTTCTCGATCACGCTCTCAATCCATATGAGAGGCTTCACCTGACAAAGAGAGAGAGGGGACAAGGTGAGTGGGGCGAGCAACAACCAACTCCCAGTCTCAGTTCGGGAGGCGGACACCCTCTCTACCTTTAAGATTAGACTTAAGACGTTCCTTTTTGATAAAGCTTATAGTTAGGGCTGGATCAGGTGACCCTGAGCCTTCCCTTAGTTATGCTGCTATAGGCCTAGGCTGCTGGGGGACCCCATGATGCTCTGAGTTTCTTTCCCCTCCCCTCCTGCTCTCCTCTTCTCTCCTCTCCTCTCTCTCCCTATGCTTCTATATGCCACCATTACACATTACTAACTTTGTGTCTCCTCTCCCCCGTAGT